CACACATCAACCCCCTGCCCTGCACCCTGGAGGGCTGGGGAGCAGGTCAGGAGCCAAGGGCACTGGGTCAAGATGGCCATTGATGTTTACAAATGAGGAAAGGATGGCAATTAGTTTTCTGAGGATGGAAAAAAGAATAGAGAGGCAGGGATTTTTCTGGGTGATATCATTTGTGGGGCTAACAGCAAGGTTGGGGCAGACAACAGGAGCTTTCTTCAGGTCTGAGGAAAGAGCAAGCTCAGCTAGGGCTAAAAACAGTCTGTAGGGCTGTGGAATTGGAGAAGAGACATTGCCAGGAGTAGCTGACAGACAGGAACATTGCAGAAGAAAGGATAGCTGGGTTAGTGAAAGATCAAGAGGTGAAAAGGGGGAGGAGATCCTTAACACCTGTAGAATGAAGAGAGATGAGCAGTAATGAGAGGTAGATTGTAATGAGCCATGAAATCTCATAATTCATTCTGGTGCATAGTTTTAGTCTAGTTTCACCACTATAGGCTCCATGAGGGCACTTGGTATGTTGGGTGAGACATACCACATTGTGGGATAAACGTGTAAGATCTGTGGATTTTTAGGGGGCTTTCTGGTGGGGACAGGTATTGATCAGTGCAGTAGCTGTACACACCTGCACCCCCTTGCGAGAGGGGTTACACTCTGGTGATGTGTTGAAACATGTATCTGCTGTTATTGCAATATAGAGCCCCATTTGAAGTCTGTTGATCACTGAGCACAGCTACACATGATGTTTGCTGTGGTGCTGGCAGACTAGCTCTGCAGGAAACATCTCAGCATCTACATGTGTGCTGGTATTAGGACACAGGAAAATAATAAACTCTGCAGCAAGATAATACTTGTAAATACAAGTATTACCGTGCTGTGGAGTTCCTTGTGTGCAGCTGACCTGGCCAGCTGGGGCACTAGGGAACTTTAGTGCGGGTGCTGCCTGCTGGCTAGCCCCGCACTGAAGCACCCACGTGCCCCAGCCAGCCTCTTTGCAGCACACTGAGCCCAGCTGAAGCAGCCCCAGGCTAGCAGGCTCACCCCAGGCTCTCTGCCAGCTGGGACTGCTGTGACCCAGCTCAATGTGCTGCAGTCTGGGTGCACATGTAAATGTTGTTTAAGGTTTGATCCTGAGCAGTTCTTCTCTTGCAAAGAGCTTGGAAAAACCTCAATAGGTCAGAATGTTTTTGACAGTTTCCTACTTGAAATCGCTGGTTTATCTTGTGTCATGTATAGCTGCTAATATTATGTGGCACCCTTAAAAGGTTCTTGTGGCACTTCAGGGTGCCACGGTACCTGCTTAAACTAGTTTCAGACTTTTAGAAAGTCGCAGAGCTGCAGGGTCTGTGCCATCTTGGGGACGACAGGACTTCCTTGCTACTGTTCAGGAAAGTTGAGCGTCTTGTCAGTTTCAAGTCTGATATGATGAGTGAGGGGGACGCTCAATGTCACTGAGCAGTAAAGGGTCCAAGGAGCTTTTGATTTGATGGAAACTTAGCCAAATTCCAAAAGGCAACATTTTCTGTTAACTGTAGTGACTTGTGCAGAATCTCCAGTAGATTTCCTTAGATAGTAGTATGTGCATAATAAATATAGTTATATTGGGTAGTATTACCAAATAAACCAGGAGGATTTCAGGAATTTAGAATGCAGGTTACACAGCTGTTTTTAGGGGATTACTTGTATTTGCCTTTGCTGTCACTATTTGGGGAAGAAAAAAGTTTTTGAAGATGAAGTTTCCATAGTTGTGACATATATATTTAAGAAAATGGGACTTGCTTGAAGACATGTATAAATAAATATTGGACATTTAGGGCTCTACCTCTATAGTTAGTTGTTAACTCACATTTTATCCACAAAGATGAATGTGAAAAATCATGCATGAACTGCTTGTTTGACAATACAAAGATGTATTTATTTTTAATTGGGGAAACAATTTGCAAGTTCATTTGAATTAACAAAGTCTACTGCATGTGTTATTAACAGTCTGTGGGAAAATACTGAAAACATTTTCTTGACTTTGAGACAGAAATATTTATACTCAGGGTTATAGGGAAACCATTTAGTTTAATTATATACATCTATTCCAGCTGTGGTCAGCTGTTATATTCTGATTCAAAGGAGCAGTAGCCAACTTTCGTTGCATTTCTATCTCTATAAGAAAATGACAGACAAGAAGAGAATCCAATCAATACTCTAGATGCCTGGCATAGAAATGATTTTTGCATTGGTTTGGAATTTCACAACAGTGTAATATTATAAAAAGAAATAAGTCAACAACAACAATGAAGCTTCTTAAAGTGGAGGAAAACAAGGTTCTAACTGGAAAAAATAATGAGGATATTTGTTCCTTATTCATTTAATTTTAATATAAAAGGCTCTTAGTATGTAGCATGGCTGCTAAAACTCCTGGTTTCAGAGCTGAAATTAACCCTGATTTGACACACAAGCTTTTATTAGGGTTGTGCTGCTCCTTTTAATCTGGGTTAGAAAGTTTAGTTTTAAACTATAACAACAGTAAAACTACTTTATAAACTATTTTTTCTTATTTGATGGTTGTTTTTAAGCTGTCCATGGGAAACCACTCACGATATGATAACAATCTGTTCTTTGATGCACAAATCATGTTCTCTGCACAAGTGTCCCTAACAAGTGTCAGTTGTCATATACAGAAATGTGGGAATACCATGGGAGGTTCCGCCTGCTGCCTAGTAACAGTAATAGACATTAAGTTGTGTTTTAATGATTAGAGGAATCCAGGTTTACAGTCATTAGGTATGTTTAAGAAAATTGTAATGGTGTTGTTACAGTATTCATATCTTGTTATGATGGTTGATGTAGTGAAGCTTCCCATACACCCTGACTATACAGGTGGTGGGGAGGATGGTCTGATAGTTAAGTAGGTTCCAATTGAATTTGATGAGAGCTACAGGTGTTAGTTGTCTTTGAAACCCAGCCCCAAATGCTCCAAAGAAGTTTGGACCAAGCCAATGAATGACTGCAGATCTGTGCAAGTTATATATTCTGCAGACACTAGGGAACATACTGCTTTCAGTATTATCATGCATTATGCTTGTTTGTAGCTTGCTTGTTTACAGCTGTAAGTCTTCCAGCACTTCACTTATCCCCATCTTTTGCTGCTCTCTCTTAATACTTCTGGCTCCTACAGCCATATTTTCCCACTCGGTGTCTTTAAAAAGGGCAAACTGTACAGCAATATACACTTGTAGAGAGGATGAATACTGTATTTTCTTGCAGAATAAAATCAACATCTTATATCTGAAAGGCAGAATGAAGAAAAAAAGATCTTTTTTGATTAGCGGCAGCTAGGGAGCCAAGCCTTTTGCTTCCTGTGGATCTCTCTACTTTCACTTCTGCTCAGTTAGCAGCATAAACTGCTGTATTCCCTCACATATAATACACACTCCAATTTCCAGCAGCTGGATTTTTCACAAAAAAGTTAAAGGGTATATGTGAGAAATTATGGTATATAACAGGAAAAAATGTGGAAATACTCAGTGGAACCTCTGTGCACTCTTCTTTGCTTGAGCTTGTATCATTATTATGGGTGATTAATACAGATAAGATATTTTATTTGTTTAGGGGGGGAAATGTGATGAATCAGCTGAGAGATGAATCATCCCTCTGGCGGCCAGTCATTGCCTGCTGTGTGGGCAGGAAGCTGACTCCACCTCTAATACAGCTTTAAAACTAGCTAGGTAGGCAGTTGTATCTATACTGTAAGTCTCTTGTTAAGTTTGTAGACTTCTCTGATCTCAGTCCCTTGTTTTCATTCTCGTTCCTATGCTTATGGTAGCCATATCTAGCATCTGGTCCTTGGTTTACACCTTACTTTGACTCTGTTTCTGACCCTTGGACCATGTCCGACTTTTAGCTTCTAACTCTGGCATGATTCATGGTTCCTGAATCTGGCTTGATCTCTGGCTTTTGACTTTGGTTTGCTGTCTTGATCTTGATTTGTGTCTACTTGTTTCTGGCTGTCTGACTGATTTGTTACTGACTGAGACTTTGGCATCTGGATTTAGCCTGTGACCCTATCCTGACTCCTAGCTCTAGATTTGGGTTCCCAATCCTGGGTCTAACCACTGTCAGAAAACCAAAAGTCTAATTTGGGCTCAAAAGGAAATGCATCTAGGCCATGTCTATATGTTCATTAATGCACCGTAGATACTGCACATTAGGGCTGTGCAAAATTTCACTGGCCGTTTCATTTCAACACTGTTTCAGCTCATTTTGAGGTCGAAACAGCAAAATCGAAATGAAACAAAGGGCTTTGAAATAGCCTTGAAACAAAACGAGGATAGTCAAAATGTTTCGAAAGTTGAAACGGTTCGACCATAGTGCTGGGGATGGAAGTCAGACCAGCTGAGCCAACTTCCCATCCCCGTTGCTGGATTGGGTGGGGGGGTGGGGAGTCAGCCATGCGGCTCTAGAGCCAGGATAGGGAGTCAGCCCAAGTGGGCTGACTTCCCGGCCCCAGCCCGATCTAGTGCCAGGGATGGGAAGTCAGCCCGGCTGGGCTGACTTTCTCTCCCCAGTGGATCTAGTGAAATGTCGAAACAGCCCCACTGTTTTAATGAAGCAAAATGGAACAGCTGTTTTGAATCCAAATGAAGTTCGATACGAAATGCTGTTCCGTTGAAACCTTCAACCTCAAGGCAAAACAGAAGGTTGCCATTTCGCACAGCCCTATTGCACATTTAGTTTAGTACTTCCTTAATAAAGTACTAAGTAAATGCACAGTACCTAAAGTTACTGTGCAGTAGCGCTGGCGCCCAGTTATTCAGTGATGTTCACTACACATTAGCCTAACAACACTGCACAATAGGCTATTAGCACAGTTTTTGCTCTGACGTGCTACTGTGCACTGTTATTAGGGTAATACGCAGCAAGCGTCTTGTGTAGATGCACCTCTAGAGCATAAATGCTATAGTAGCTGACCTTTGGATGCTAGCAACAGACAGGAACTCAAAGTACTTTTGAGTCTTTCACTATAATCATATAGTGGACTAATGCAGCAGCTATACCTCTGATAATACCATCTTCCTTCTAATCACCATGGATTCCCTCTTATTTCAATTTATGCAGGCACTTACCTCAGTCACACAAAAAATGAAACCCTAACAGCACCACATATGTGCTATTAGAAAGAGCTAAGTATCATGAATACAAAATCTAGATGTCACAAACTTCTTTGTTATAATGTGACATCATACGCATTTTGCAAAAGAGTGAAATGAATGGATGAGAACTCACCTGGCAGATGCTTTGCAGTAAATGAGCAACTGTTCAACATTTCCTTTTAAGACCTTTCAGAAAAGGATACCAGGGCCTTATTTGAGGGAACCAACTTCTACCTCTGTGAGAGCTATCAGATAAGTAATACTTCATAGCTGACTGTGTTAGAGACAGCTGACAAGTTTAATACAGTCACCAAAATACACTGAGAGGAATCTAGGCAGGTAGAAGAAATCAGAATTGTTCCACCATGCTTTCTCCCTGAATTTCTGTAAAAGGGGGAAGAGTAATTGACATGGATATGATGGCTTTTGTCACATGAATTGCTCCAGAAGCCATCATCTGACACTTAACAGCCATGTCTAATTTGGAGAAGCTAATTTAGAAAGTTCTGGTGGGACAGTTTCAAATTCTTCTGGCTTGCCAGATATAGTAAAGATGCTACACTAGTTATCTTGACAGTGGATGAAGGGCAGAGGCCACATTAATATTGTTAATCTATTCGGTTCTGTTCTTGACCACAGCTGTTGCTACCTAACTATGAGATATGGCAGAGGTAGATGCTCTTCAGTAATTTTATTACTTCCTTTTTGAGAAGGGAATTGCATAGGACATTAACCTGTCCCCCCCCCTAATTTTATCATTTTAATGATTGTTATGGTCTTGACTGAGCAGAGGTTGACATTATTAATTTAACTTGTGATGGACCTAAGACCACAGTGACTTTTCTCAACTGTAGGACAACCTTGATGTGATGATCAAGTCTGAGGAAGGTAGCATACCTACATAACAGCACCTTCAGCATAACTCTGCTATTCCATGCTGGTAAAAATCCCTGCCTCTCTGCAACCAGATTTCTTGGATTCAGTCAAAAAGAGACTGAGCAGACTACTGGCAAGTATATATTTTAATGTGTCTTGTTTAGGCTTTGGCTGCCCTACTGAAGCTAAGCTTTGCCTCTGCTTCCCTTCTTGGCCCAGCCTTCCCAGTCTTGCTGCAGTCTTTCTGCTTGCTTGGCCTTATCCATCTTCTTCTGCTCAGTTCTTTGCTGTAGAGAATCTCAGTTTGCTTTTCAGACTTAGGGTCAGATTCAGGCACTTGGTTTTCAATCCTGCCTTAACCATTGTTCCAGGTTGCTCATGTTCTGGTCTCTGAGAATTGGAGGTTGCTACTACTCTTCACATTGCTCATCCAGAATATCAGAATGAAAGCAGCTATTGTTGAAGATGACCCCTCTCCCACAATGTGAGTCTCAACTTCTCTTTAAATTATATTTCAATTTGACAAAGAGTATTTTCATAGTATACCTTTTAACTAGGTGAAATATACCTGCTTCAAAAATCTATGCTAATTTTGTTGTTATATGGTACTAAAGCTGTCAATCACAGTTAATATGCATGATTAACACATTAATTGGCTCTTGCATTAATTTTCTTGATTGCGCATGTGGTTTTGGAATCTGCACCCGGTCTCCATTCCGCTGTCTCTGGGCCACCCAACGGTGTTGCAGTGGCAGCTCAGAGGACTGCAGGGCAGCTTAGGCGTGGGCTCCAGGCAGCTGCAGTAGGATATAGGGGTGGGGAGGGCATACACAGACAGACACACATGAGCAGCTACAGTCTGCACGCTGCATGTAGAGCAGCGCCACACCGGTAAGTCTGTGGAGGGGGAGGGGTGGGAGGAGAGGGAAGGGGCATGGTGGAGGCAGATCAAGGCCTCCACGATGAGGGAGTAAGTGGGGCAGGGGCAGGGCTGGGGTAAATGGGACCCCAGAGCCAGGGCATATCATTGGTCAGATTTCGTGGGAGGCTTATCCAGGGGCATGTGGAGAGCGCATCTTCCCACCGCTGCGTGCACCCCTGGGGAGGCATGGGGGTCATGTACCCCCTGATTTGTACATGGGGCAGAGGCGGGCTGGTGCTCTGTGCCCTGCTGCCCTTGCCCTAGGAGCTGTGTGCCAGCCATGCTGTGTGCCCCCTGCCTGCCCGGCTGTGGGAGGTACAACATGGCCTACCACAGCTCCTGAGGCAAAGGCAGTAGGGGTCAGAGCTTCAGCCTGCAGCAGGCAGCTGGCCTCTGCTCCATGTATAAATCAGGGGGGCATGTGCCCCCTATGCCTCCCAAAGGAAGGCATGCAGCTGTGGGGTGCCGTGCCCCTTGTGCCCATAGACAAGCCTTTTGCAGCTCTGTCCCATGCCCTGCCCCTGCCCTACTCCCTCCCTCACTATGGGGGCCTCGATCTGCCCCACCTTCACGCCCCTTCCCTCTCCCCCACCCTTTCCCCCCCACAGACTTACCTTCTGAGTGCTGTGTGGGTGTCTGCCTCTCACTCCCAAGCCAAGGCCCCCCCAGCCCTGCTGCTGCCTCGCTCCTGATCCATAGCATCCAGCCAGGGCGTGTGGGAACCCCCCTTCCTCTGGCTCCAAACTCCTCCCTCCATAGCCCCCAACAACTTCACAAATTCCCCCCCACACATACATGCCCCACACCCACCCCCCAACCATACAAAGTAGCTGCATCATTTTGAGTTTTTATGTGCATAATTTTTAGTTTTTAGCTGTGCAATTAAAATCACAATTAATTCCGACTAATTTTTTTAATCACGCAACTAATTACGATCAGATTTTTAAATAATTTGTCAGCCCTGTATAGTACCACTGTGGGCATATTCCTGTCTGTACATATGTGTTATCTGCCCTACTTCTTGCCATTAGAAACTTTACTTAATTTTTAATTTGGTTTAAATTCCAACTGCTGACTTTTTTTTCCAGGTTAGGTTATACACACAATACACAGAGAAATGTTAATGTCAATAATCTAATTAGCTGCATGTAACAAGGGCTTCATGAATTTAATCATTATTTGAGTTCTATGGAACCAACTCCCCTTGGAGACAGCCAAGAATCATTACTCAGGAGCAATGATAAAACTGTAGATTCACCAGAGAAAGTTTCCAGAATAAAATGACCTGATTGCAAACAATGTAGCATGATTCAGATCACAGAAGATCCAGCATTTGCTATCTGAAGCATGTATTACTGATTCTATAACATGAGTTGATTATCTCTTTCATATTCACAGTGGGGTTGTGGCAATGCAAGTACACTTTTTTAAATGTAGTATTTAATATTGGGTTAATTTCTTAGCATATTCTGTGTTCTGTGAAGTTATGTTCAGTGAAGGGCCAGGAGAAATAGGCAAAAGTGACCAATAACCCCACACATTACACTCATCCCTCCTAATCTTTGCTAGCTTCCTCAAAGATTTTACAAGGCAGGGAGTAGTAGATAAAGTCAATAACAGGCTTTCAAGGTGATACTCTTAGTTGTAAAGCAATTTTTGTTATTTTGTACTTATGCTGAAGGATGAACGTGATTGTAAATAGGAAACACTATCTTATGTGGGTATTTTTGGTGGACTCCTTTTGGAATCTTTTCTTGACCCTATTTAATGTTATTATTAATGATCTGCAGCAAAATATGAGATTGTTGCTGTAGAATGATAAAAATGATGGGAATGTGTTTATTAGGGCTGTGCAAAGCTTCAGCCACTGATTTGATTCAGCAGAGATTTGGCAGCCAAATCTCTGAATCCAAATGGAATCAGAACCTTTAATGTCTCCAAATTGAATCGTAACCCTCTGAATTGATTCGGAAAGATTTGCTGATTCAAACATAGACACAGCTTTAAATGTTTTCTCTACATACCTCAAGGTACCAAGCAGCTTATGAATGCTGAGATGGTGGGGCAGATGGAGCGTCCCACAGGAGCGCGGGGTGGGGGTGGGGGGTCCCAGCGCACTTGGCAGCAGATGCAGAAGTGGACCAGAAACACTTCCGGTCCACTTCTGGGTCTCATGGATCTGGGGGGGCACCCGGGGTTCCCCTGTAGTCGATTGCAAGCAGGGGGTGTGGGGGAGGCCCCCCAGTGTGCTCGCAGTGGACCTGGAAGTGGACTGGAACTACTTCTGGTCCACTTCTGGTTTTGCTACTGAGCAGGCGGGGGCCTCCCCCACGCTCCTGTGAGATGCTCCATCCACCCCAGCATCACAGTGTTCGTGATCCGCGCCTGGAACCTCGAGGTATGTAGAAAAAAAATTAAAGCTGCGTCTATGGCCAAATCACTGATTCGCCAAATCAGCATCGAATGTTCAGATTCGGATTTGGCCGAATCAAATTGGGAACAGTGATCTGAATGGACAAATCGAATCACTTTCCCTGATTCGGGCGGAATCCGAATCTGAATCGTATATGGCCTGTTTTGCACACCCCTAGTGTTTATTTTACTGATGTACCAGCATTGTTTAAAAAGGTGGGTTTATCTGAGCTGTGTGTGTGGTGTTTTTACATTGCCAAATGCAAGGTCAAACATCTGCTTAAACTCTCTGGAGCAGGAACCATTGTTTTTCTTGTTCTTTGCATGTGCTGTGCCTAATGCAGTGGGTTGTTAGTTTGTGACTTTGGGTATGAGAAGTCATGGTAAAATTAAGCCATAGGAATGAATAGATATAAGAAATGAAGGAAAGTATGTAACAATGTAAAAATAACGAACAGGGTTGTGGTCAGATGACACTAGACCCTTGCGTTCAATTGGTTCTTATTGCACCTAGAAGTGTGAATGTAACCCCTGCTTACACATCCAAAGGATTATTACATAAGAATAGGCAGGTATTGCATTATGTACTGAGACCATAACTGCATTTCTGTCTTAGGGGGAAAAAAAATTAAAATTGAAAAAGGTCCACAATAAAGCTCCAACTATCTTTGGAGGATATGCAGTAAAGAGAAGGCGGCTAAGACATGACTTGATCACTTCATTGTGGCACTGTTTTGTATTACTAGATGCCTTTGGAACCTAGCTGGAAAAGGCATGATTGACCCGTACTTTGGAGAATTAAAAAAAAAAACAAACCTGACTAGAAATAAAGTGTAACCATGAGGGCAATTAAACAGTGGAATAACTTACTTAATGTAGTGGATGTTTTATTGCTCAAAGGCTTTGAATCGAGACTGAATCTATTAGAAAGATGTATTCTAGGTGAAATATCTGAATTCTAGTGGTTCCTACTGTCAATAATATCTATGAATTTGAGCATGGTCCTTCATAAAACAGATCAGAGGGCCTGATTTTCTGCATCTGTGATAGTATAATGACTTCTCTGTTACTGTTATTCAGTAGTGGTCATCCCATCTCAAAAAAACAACTATAGAACTAGAAGGGGCTTAGTGAAGGATGATGAAAATGATTAAAGATGTGAAAATATCTCTCATCTGAAGAGAGATTGAAAAATAGTGTTTTATCTTAGGATCTAAATTGGAGGAGATACGAGAAAAGTATATAAAATATTGAACTGCACACAGTAAATGAGACTCTTCTGTTTCCTATTGCAGAAGAAAGGGACATTAAGTATAGGCAACACATTCAAAATTTTTTATTTAGACTGTAGAACTTGTTGTCACAGGAATCTATTCAAGCTAAAAACTTTCAGTGGAGTTACAGGCAAAATGAAGTGAAGAGTCAATGCCTTTTAGTCCAATGGGATTTAATGTACTAGGTAAAGATAGAAAATATTATCTTGGTCTCGGTAGCTGATTTTGAAGGTGTTAAAATTAGGACCTCTAGTCTTAACTGGATTGTAGTCCACCTTTGATGTAAATTTTGAACCAAAAAAAAAATCAAGGCCTTATCTGAACTGTGGACATTATTCCCATATTACTTCAATCATTCCCATTGATTTATTGAGTAGTTGTCTCTGGTAAGGCACTTGGGTGCATGTTCCATAAAATAATAATTCGTGAATGATCAACTGGTTCCTAATTCTCAGCTACGGTATGTTACAGCCTGTACTTATACTGGATGGTAGATAGAAATAGAGATTAATTGGTTGTAAAATAAACAAACAAATGAAGCCTCTGACAAATCAGGGAGGAATTCTACAGGCGCGTCCTTGCTATACCTACATTTTTGCTCTTGTTCTGATTCAGATTTGAAATTTGAGGCTGCAGTTAAAGTTAAACCAGCAATATCCAAATTGCAGAACAAATCAGTCTTGGTCCTATGTTATTAATTTTTACTTAGTCTGTTATAGGGCTCTCTTTCCAAATTTTAAAGGGACAGTGAGTCCTCTTAAATAGGAAGAGAGTTGTTCTCTGTCAGGGTTTAAAAGTGTACATTTGTTTTCAAATTGATATGATGATAATACGTATATCTATCACACTTAACTGTGAGTTATTTCAAGACTATGC